TCTTCATCTAAGTTCTTAGGGGGGGTTTTCTTTGTGTAACTCGTATAACTATTAAGCCATTATGATGCACATCATCCCGGCTGAAATTACAATGCCCGCGGGATTTTTTCTAACTGAAGAAAATTTCTTTCATTTCCACTAATTTATAATAATAAAAACGAACGGGTCCTAGACTATTTAGACTAATGTTGGGGAAATTCGATGCATGCGTGTTCGCTGTTTGCGGAAATGTAACCTCATCTCCAAATTCTCCACCCACCAGGGTTCCCTGGAGCTTGGGGAGCTTCACCCGGTCTATCTAGATAGCTCAGGACAGTGGGGATCCACTTAACTGGCCCTGAAGTTTGTTTGTTGGGTTTGGGAGGAGGGTGAAGTTACGCAAATGGCCGAATTTCTACCAACCCAAGGAAAAAATGTCAAGTTAAGCAAAGGTATAGCATTCGCTATGGATCACCTGGTCAACGCCGCTCTCCCGGGTATTGTCTTCCCTCGTACACACGACACCAACCAAGCCAGCAAGTCCCCACCCAAAGGAAGTAGTAGTAGTAGTAGTAGTAGTAGTAACAATAATAAACAGACAAAAGAAAAGAAGAAAATAAGTCAATACTAAAACATAGTTTAGAGCAAAGTGATCACTCAACGTATAGGGTACTCATGCACTGACGGGAAAATCCTCCATGGTGAAAAATTCATCAAACGCCGTTTCCGATTCCGGCAGCTGGGGACCACTGCCCAGCCCAATTGCGAACCGGCTGAAATCTTCATAGTCAGGATCCATATGGTGCTCCTGTGCGTATCCAATCACCCCCTCGTCCTTGTTCAGGTCTAGCCCCCAAAGACCCGGGTCCTGCCCCGTCGATGTTGGGGACTGTGGTGTGCTGGGCGTCGGGCACAAGTCTGGTGTCGGCACTGGCTCTGTGGAATCCATCGGCATGCCTGGTGGAGAGTTGAACTGAGACAGGTTGGCTAAGCTTTGCGTCCGCAGAGCTTGGCCAGGCTCCGACCGGACTCGAGTGTGCTGGTACATCGGGTGGGCCGGTCGAAGACCGGCCGACGCCGTTGAGGACGAGGACGACGTTGTTGTTGTGGGAGGCACCGTAGCACTGCTGTTGCTAGACGCCGCGGGAGTTGCAAGCAAGGGGGAAGGCATCGCGTGAACGGGAATGACCGGCGCCGAACCCATGCGGTCCCGGAACTGACGAACCGGCATGGCGCCCATTTCGCCCATCGTAGTGGCCGGGACCTGCTGCACCGGCGACACGAACCCTCCCGTCCAAGGCGATCGCATGGGCTGCGGCCCGTTGAGCTGCGCCGGCCAGGTGGGTCCGCCCGCGGTCTGGGTGAGGTAGGATGGTAGTTGGCCCGACGACGCGGGGACGACGCTGGGATACGACGGCGACTGGGAATTTCCGTCGTATGTGGGGGAAAGCACATAGCTACCCTGGTGTGGTGCCAACGGGCTAGTCATTGGCCCGGTGTTCATACCGTCGGAGACAGAGGCACGAAGCCCAGACAAGTCCAGACTCATCTTGCGGATGCCGTTGAGAGACGCCCGCGGATTGAGGTGGGAGCTGGCCCGACGCTGGTGCAGAGCACTAGGACGGTTGGCAAAAGCCGCCATGAGATTGCGGTTGAACTCGGTTTGCAGCTGCATCGACTGAGCGTGCAGCATACGGTTGATTTTCTCTTGGTAGCGGTCATCGACCTCTTCGTACATGGCCTCTCGTTCAACAATTTCCCGACTGATGAGGAGTGCCTTGCCGGTCCGCTGCTTGTGCAGGCTGGAGGCCCGGTTGGCCGATTCCACGCGAGCATCTAAGCTGCGGTCTTTACGACGGGAGGCGGCTATGAAGGCACTGTTTTCTCGTCAGCGGGTTTGCAGGCAGAGAAATAGCGGCCAAGCAGATAGCCTACCGTTCCTGGTTCTCCTCCTTTGTGCGGGGATTGGGACAAACATCCACATCGATGGCGGGAGAGCCCATCGTGAGTGAGTGTAGTGGACAGTGACGGGGAAAGCTGTGTGGCAGTTAAGGCAGTATGGTGTGATGTGTGGCGCGGCGTGCGTAAGCAGTAAGACTGAGCAGATGACTGCAAGATCGGCAGTAGTATGCTGAGGAGGAGGAGGATGTTTCACCACGCCTTGTACACAAGAAAACAATAATAGAAAAGAAGGACAGAAAAAGACGGGGGTTGAAGTTAAATAAAATGGCAGCTGTTGGAATAACGGCAGCCAAGGAGGGGCATCCAACAGTGAGCAGAGCGTCAGTAAACTTGACACCGGGAGTGGTTCAAGCAGCGAAGTTTAGCTGTCAGGTCACAACAGCTCAGCCAGCCAAGGGCCGAGTCTAGACGAGACACCCAGTGCCGGGGCACGTCTGGGTCGCCGAAACAAGGGCCGACCAAAAGTCAGGCTCTGATGAAACCATGGAACGAGCGACAGTGCAAGGTTCTTGCAGAGCCGGGACTCGGACATGGGAGGAGACTGGATCCCATGGAAGAGCGGAAGTCTGAAGTGGGTGACTAGCAGGGGAGGACTAGGATCGAACCGGAACCATTTTCCAGAGAAACCAGATGAAGTGAGGTAAGAAGTAGCAGACAATGTTAGTCGATGAACAGAAAAACGAATAAAGATAAGCAGACGAGGAAACAAGAAGATGAGATGAGGGGAAGAGGAGAGGAGAATAGGGTACCGAGAGGAGATAGCAGATTGAGGGAGTGGGGAGCTACACACGAAACGGAGACATCGTTGCCCAGGATGATCCTCGTGATGGGGAAACACGATCGATCTTGCCAATGCCAGGCATGAAGTCGCTAGCAGGTATCTTGTCACTATCAATCCCAGCGAGAAAGTACCTCCCAGTAACTCCTATACCGTACGAAAATCTTACTAGATACACTAGTACTAAGTAGTACGAGCCGGACAGCCTAAACTAGTGCAGAGATCGGCCAGGTCCGATCTTACCGTGTGATTGGCCACAACTGGTTATCATTACCGTATCTGGTAGAGTGACAGATGCGCGGGTTTCCGTCCGTAATCCGAGCGTACGCGCTACTGTAGGAACATCGGGGATTTGTTCGGCCTCGTAACTTTCACCACCACCACCACCACCACCACCACTAACCATTTCAATCTTGCTTCTCTCCACCGCTGATCTTCCCATCTGCCTCCACCTGCCAGATCTTCAGTCCAAACCACAATCTCTCTACTATCTTTCCCCGTACACACGGACATTAGTGTTAGACCGAATAACAGCGAGATCAACAGTGGACAAGGATGTGGATCTTTTTTCAAATCGTCCTAACGCATACCTAATCTGGGAATTTCTCTACCTTGTCTGTGTGGATTAACCTATTTCACTCCACAGACAACAAACAGCAATCCAGTAAGTATTAGATTAGATCAAAACAGCAGAGCAGCAAGAACCATCGCCAAGATCCTAGGACACTTCGCTTAACAACAAACATAGACATTTCCACCCATACTAACTAACTTACTTTGACCTGAAAAGTAAATACCTTCATAATCTAATCGCCTTCCTTACCTATCCATCCATACAGAACGTACAGACCAGTTCTATTCCGCCCCCTCAACCCACGGAATCAAGTCTGGATAACAACCACCACCCAAACTAAAACCCCGTAGCCACCGCCACGCCACCTACCCAAACCCCAGGAACGAATTTCCCTCTTCTTCCAGCTGCCCATCTCGTTAATCCCCTTAACCCCCTTACCCAGGTACTTAGTATGTCCGAGGTTGTTGCTGGGCAAGTGGTCTAAGGTACTGCTGGGCATGCTCGTCTACTTTCCCTTTCCAGCACACCATAACGCCTTGTATACCTAGACCTCTTCACATCTAGCCTCTCTCAAACCCCCATCCCTCGGGCTCTATCCTTCCCCATTCCCTCTTCCTCTTCGGTTCTAGTCCTAGTTTCCGCATCGGCGTCTGCCGCCATCCATCCATCCACCGATCCATTCCATCCATACATACAGTATAGCTAGCTCCCGTCCCCCGTCCCTCGCCTCTCGCCCCTCGCCCCCCTATTTTCGCCACAAGAGACAGACACAGACACAGACACAGAGAGAGGGAAGAGGCGCAACCCCACATACGTACCATACGTACCTACACAGAACATGGTACCACACCCCGGGGAACTTGTGGACTGACTCGCGGGATATGATGCTTGGTGCCAGTGCCATGTTACTCCTTCGTCCAATCCCTGTCCCTTGGTTAAACTTAGCTTTCGTCGTTGTGTGGCTGCGGCTATAGAGGGGGGTGGATTTACAAGGACCCAGGGTGGTGGGAAGGAAGGAAGGAAGGAAGAAAACCCAGTACCTAGGTTAAGTACTTAGTTTAGAGGGCCAGCACATGTGGTGGTGGGAAGGTAGGCTGGTTCTAGAGGGGGTAAGGGGGGGGCGTTTGGTCCGTGAGTCCGGTCGGGCGAGAGGGAGGGAAACATGGGTGTGTTGCTTGGCTGCGTGCACGCATGCATATAATGTAGACTGATGAATGGGATGGATGGATGGATGATAATGGAGGATTGATTGGATTGGGTGTGACAATACAGGGACAACTGGTTTGTCTTTTGTCTTTTGTCTTTTGTTTTGTGCATTACTTGGTTTAGTTTAGTTGGTCAAGTTCTTTGGGCAATAGGAAGCTACTGCTAGCCATGCTACTACTACTTACTACCTATCTGAGGAGGAGATGGTGTAGGTTGGGGGCGGGCTGTCAAACTTGCTTGAGTTGGTATACACGGCATAAAGAAGGGGGGGGGGGAGGGAAAGAAAACACTAGATCATCCACACACAACGGCAGGCAACTATGCAGGGCTAGCTAGCAAGAGAAAAAAGCTATCAATCACACTTAGAAACAATCCCCTCCCCCCTCTCATCAAACATGGTGGAGAAGAGAAAAAGGAGGAGGTGTGGGGGGGAAGAGGGGATCAAAGAAGGGAGACTAAATCCTGTCCGACGAAAAGTGTAAGTAAAGGAGAGTTATCGAATCAGGCTATACCCAACGACGGCACCATCCCCTGCTCCTCTTTGTGCTCACTACCCACCCGGTATGACACTCGGTACCGCATCTTGATCGAGTTGCCCTTACCCCCCGCTACCCCGGAGATGAGCATCTCCTGCTGCACCCCGTTGTTCTGCAGCGGTCCAATGTCCCGCCCGGACTGCGGGCGGAGTTGCAACGTGTACGCCTGTGGGAATTGTTTAGCTTCTTCCTCTTCCGTCCGTTGGTTTCCGTGCGCTGTCCAAAGGGAAGCGGAGGGAACTTTACACAACTCACCTTCTCCACAGCCACCTGGAAGTGTAGTTCGTTCAGTGGCTGGCTCGTGCCATTCGAAAACAGGGCCACCACATGGATTTGCTGCGACTGCTGGGGGTGTCGCCGCGCCACAAATTCAATTCGGAGTGCCGAATTCAATACCGACACCCGGTTGGTGCTCGGTAGCGTGTTGCTCTCCGGCAGCGACGATGCAAAGTTCCATTCGTCCTCCTCCGCCGCCTTGCCGCTGCTGCCAACCGGTTGCGTCGGTCCGCTTCCTGCCAGATCGAGCAAGGACCCCCCAGCGGCTGCATGGCCGGCTGCAGATCCTCCAGACGGGAGGGGACTGGCATGCCGGGGACTAGCGGAGACCAGCGAAGCGAATGGGTCGACAGCCGGTGGGGGAGTGGGCGTCGCGACGATGCTCTGAGGTCGTGCACTTGGCACCGGAGTGGCTGACTGCGATGGCGGTTGAGAGCTGCCCAGCGAGGACAGGATGTCGTAGTTCGGCTTGAAACCACCAGGAGCCTGCGGCACTGGCGGTGTAGCAGTGGTCGTGATCGCTAGCACGAGGATTAGCCATGTCAACTCATTCATGTCAGCAGCAGATGTCTCCTACATGGTCCTAACGAGATACCACCCAGGGCCGGAGCGGGCTCATCTATTGACAGCCCCAGCAAGTCGTTCTCCAATGAACTGCCTCCGGTCGCGGCCGGCGCACCGTTGCCGTTCGTACTAGCACTTGCAGGAGGTTCCGGGTCAAAGTCGATAAGCGACAGCTGGTTGTTTGCGTTCTTCGATACACCTGTTGTCGTGCCCAATGTGCCCTTGGGGATCCGTGTGGCGGCTTCCCAGTCGCCCTTCTTGACAAGCTTGTACCGCTCAATGGTCCGGTGTATGCTGTCATTGATCTCGAGCAACTTGTGAACCGCCTCCGGATCATCCGACTCCTCCTCGCACATCTTCTGGATCTTGGGATGGGCACTCTGCAGCGCCCCAGCCAGTTCCTAGCAACCCGACAGTCAGTTGACAATCAAACGAGACACAGCGCGCACTTCCAAGCATTACCTCGAACACATCACCCTCCGCGACCGGGTCGCCAGGCTGGTGACTCTGTAGCATTTCCTCCAAGATCTTCGCCTTCTGCTGCACCTTGGCGACCTCTTCCGCCGCCTTAGCCCGGTAATCAGTCTTGTGTCTGTTGTCGTACCCGGCCATGACCTTCATCAGACGATTAGCCTCCTGCAGATCCGCAGGCGTACCCCTACGAATCAGCTCCTGCAATTTAGCCGACTGGGCCTCTTTCTCCTCCTCTTCCATCTCCTCCGCAGACCGCAGGTTCTATTCAAATACCACTAGTCAGCAACACTCCCTAAAACCAGTGGGGGCGGGATCACGCACATCACTCGGGTTCAAGACGGCCGCGTCCTCATGGCGAATCTCCGGAAATACATAACCTTTGTAGAGTAACAGCCGATGCATATCACGAATATGGCCTAGATCCTCCTTGTACCGCGACGTCTGGCAGATCGTTTGTCTCCACTCCTCAATGGACTCGAGGATGCGATGTTGCACCCGAGTCGGCCGCAGCTGCGGGCGCTCGGGGAATCGACGAACCAGCTCATTCAGAAACTCTTTAGTGCTAATCTGGAGGTGAAATGGGTAACCGCAGTTTTTGACGCAGATGTCGAGAAGCTAAAAGGTGACAAGAGTCGCAGGGGTGGAATGTTAGCCCCGCATTCAGGCACATCTAAGCTCCATTATATGGTTGGTTGGTCTGGATAAAAAGCCTACCGCCAATGCTAGTAACGCCACATTCTGATTCCGCGAGTTGATTAGATGGACGATTTCGATGGCAGCTTCGCGGGGTCTAGAAGCGTGGAGGGTTGGGTGGGTTAGTTCAACGGCGCGGGTCGGTGGACGCGACACAGTAGTAAGTAGCAACTCACGCATTGCCTTTCTTGGAGTTGATCAGATCGGCCACTTCAAGGTTCAGGGCGAGGTTGGGTTCGTAGTGCGACAAGTCGCAGGCATTTCCTGTAGGAGTCGTAAATATTTAGCCAACCAAAATATCAAATGGAGTTCTGTATTGGTGTGTGCGTTGCTTTTTGGGAGGGACAAAAAGAACAGGGGTGACGTACGAACAGCCCGTTGCAGCGGTGTTAAGCCCGGCTCAGCGTAGGCACCGAAACGGTCCCTCGCTGCCATGCGTGCTGAAGCGGCCTCCAGGGTGACGGCGGATTATGGGTAAGATGGATAAAGGGGAGAGAGAAAAATAAAAAAGCACAATTGAAATAAAAGGGAGTCAGTCGAACAGGACCGTGACTCAGGGCGGAGAGTGAGGGGAAAGGACCGGAGACAACAGAAAGAGAGAGTTGAGAGATAGAGAGGGGATGAGTTAAGCTAGTAGCTCGAGATGGAACCAACCGACTTGGTTTACTTGCCCGACTCACTCCCGCTGGCTGGCTGGCTCTAGTTCGTTTTCCCACTCCACGTGTGGCGCCCGCCGTCATCTTTCAACTTTCCCCTCTTCGATAATTTTCCGCAATTCTTCAATCACCTCCACTGTCACGCAAAACACAAATAACAACAGCAACAACACATATCCACCATGGTCCGCCATAAAAAAGACAACTTCGCTCGAGGAGGCAAGAAATTCTCCTCCAAGGGTCCCCGTCCTCCCCGCCGCGATCCCGCCGACCCTGACGCCGATGATGCCGACCGCCCCTCCAGACCTCCATTCAAAGCCGCCTGTTGGGATCTGGGTCACTGTGATCCCAAGCGCTGCTCAGGAAAGAGATTGATGAACTTTGGTCTGATGCGCGAGCTGCAGATCGGCCAGCGATTCCCGGGTGTAATTGTCTCGTACGTTGTCACCCATACCCTCTACACAAGGGAACATACAGAGAACCTTCAATCACTAACATCCAAATCACATCACATCCAGTCCCAACGCAAAGAAAATCATCTCCCCGGCCGACAAAGACCTCCTCGAACAATTCGGCGCCGCAGTAGTAGAATGTTCCTGGGTGCGAGTGAAGGAAGTGCCCTGGTCGCGAATCGGAGGAAAATGCGAACGACTCTGTAAGACCCCAACACACAACCAATATCCACGTCACCAACAGTAATACTAATACATCAATCTTGAATGGAAAAATAGTACCCTACCTCATCGCCGCCAACACAGTCAACTACGGCAAACCCTGGCGCCTAAACTGCGTCGAAGCCCTCGCCGCCTGTTTCTGCATCTGCGGTCACGAAGACTGGGCCCGCCAAGTCCTCAAACCCTTCCGCTACGGCGAAGCCTTCCTCGAAATCAACGGGAAACTACTCAAGCGGTACGCCGCCTGCGCCGACGAAGACGAAATCAAGCGCGCCGAGGAGGAATGGCTCGCCAAGATCGAGCGGGAATATGAGGAGAGTCGGGCCGCGGGCGGCGCAGACGATATTTGGACTGTGGGGAATACGAATCGGAGGGCGGAGTCGGATTCTGAGGAGGAGGGTTCGGGGTCGGACAAGGACAAAGACAATGAGGAAGATGAGGAAGAAGAGGAGGAAGGAGAAGAAGAAGATAAAGACCCCTTCGCGATATCAGACGACTCGGAAGAGGAAGAACAAATGGCTGCTATTCGAGCTAAGATTCTGAATTCCAAGTCGTTCCAGAATCCCTCGGCTTCGGATAAGCCGCAGCCGGAGAAGATTGCGAGACCGGAGGAGGAAGGGTCGAAGTCGAGGCCGTTGGAGGATTCGGATGCTGAGTCCGGGTCTGCGGAGGGGAGTGAGGATGAGGCGTTTGATAGTATTATCAATGCGACGCCGGTGACGGATCGGACGGGGATTCTTGCGGCGCAGAAGAAGAAGGAGAAGGAGACGTTTAGTGCGTCGTTTTCCAGGACGGTGGTGGATGCACCGAAGCGGTGGTAGGAGAATCCTTTCTTTATTCTTGATCGTGTTCGGATGGGACTGGATGGGTTTGGATGTTACAAAAGTTATGATATGAGCATGCATCTCATGGGTACATATAAGTAAATAGGCATGAATGTAATGAATGATACCGTGATGAGATTTACTACTATGGATGGATTAAGTAGTTATTTGTTGATCGATTGACTTTGATTTATCAGTCTTTCTTTCTCTTTAATATGAACAGCGAAAGCCAACCCCGTCCCGTTCGTTGCTGTCCCCGTCCCACTCACGTACAATGCATGCAAAGCATAACGAGGCATCTCAGACATACTCAAGGCGATCATAACCATCTCATGCTTAGCGAGAGGGGGGTAAAGGAAAGAAAGTAAACAATAGATTGACTGAAACCCTTTTGCCCTATTCCGAATGAAGAGATATGACTACCCCCCCGCAAGCACCCCGCAAATTACAAAGCAACTATTTACATAACATAGAGCACATTCACGTCTAAATGATTCCGTCAGAAAATTTCCATCTTCCTAATCACGAAGCGACAGGCGACTGCTTACCCAAGGGATGGCTGCAGCTCAGCTGCGGCTTCTGCGTATACTTGGTGGACAACTCGTCTCGGATGCTGTTCAGCAGCTGGACGTAACTCTGCTGCGGGTTCTTGCGAAGCGCGCTGATAAAGGCCCAGGACATGGCGCCGGTAGCCTGGCCGGCGATCTGGGCGTCCTGACTGGTCTGGTCGTCCTTGCTGCCGGACCACATGATAACGTCGGCTGGACTGGTCTTCGTCTGGATGGTGCGCTCGTACGCCTCGTCGCCCTTGGTCGCCTTCTTGAAGAACCCAACGGCCGTCGACATCATGCCGCTCATGTCGCCACGCGCGTAAGCCGAAACAACACCCAGCAGGCCCTGGCCCGCCTCCTTGGCCAAGTTGGGTTCCTTGAGAATACCCTGGGTCGAGTAAACGTAGGGCAGGTCGAGTGCGGAACCCGAGTGACAGGAGTCGAAGATAGCCGTCAGTCGGACACCCGGCTGCAGCGGTTTGACCATGATCCGGTGCATCTCATCGTCGACAATGTGGCCGGCAGCCCGGAAATCGACCGGGTAGATAACTTCGTCGTATCCGTCGTCTTCGTCGCCGTCGAGGTCAGGCGTCTGTCCACCGTGTCCTGCTATTGTCAGAACCAGTCCAGCAAATCGAGGTTTTATGAGGACGGCATACCAGAATAGTGGAAGAAGAGCGAATCGTTCGGCTGGGCATCCTTGACGAGCCAGTGCATAGCCCGAAGAATGTTAGCCTTGGTGGGTTGACTCATGGGGTTTTGTTGATCATCCGTCAGGAGGACCATGTCTTCGCGAGCGTAACCAAAGTTCTGATTTAGGTAGGTGGACATGTTCTTGACATCGTTGATACATCCGCGCAGCTGGCCCTTCTGGTTAAAGTAGTTGATACCGATCAGCAACGCCTTTCTCTTGCCCGTGCAGCGCGAGTACTGGAAGTTGTAACCCTGCGGCGCGCCTTGGCCGAAGCTGACGGGTTCGCTGGGCGGCGGCGGAGGGGCGCTGTGGTTGCCTTGGTTGTAGGAGTTATGATAGACATCGGCGATACCTAAAAGAGGCGTCAGTTGGGATAGAAGCTTGCACATGATATCGCAGTGACATACCTGGCCGGCCCCCATACATCGGGCCTTGGCTGGCAGAAGGGTAGCCACCCTAGAGAAGCGACGTCAGCTTCCACCCATACCCACCAACATGCAGAACAGGCGACGCATCATGCAAGACATACATTGTAACCGTTTTGAGGGGGTTGCGATCCTTGGTACTGCTGAGGAGAGGGCTGGCTGTAGGGGTAAGGGTTGCTGGGAGGCTGCTGTTGGCGATAAGCCTGGCCGGGGTAACCACCGCCCCCGTAGGACGAGTGGTGGTGTGAGTGGTGAGGATTCATCTGTCTGCCAAAGCTACGTCAGCGCGACGTCTAAAAGTAGCGGTTTCGTATTTGTGAAAATGCTGAAGAGGGACTGAGAGTTTATGGAGAACAAAATTCCCACGAGGGGAGCAAGTAAGGAGATCTCACGGCTGCTGATATTGGGGCGGGGAGCCATAGCTCTGCTGCTGCGGAGGATAGGAATATTGCTGCGGAGGGTACCCGGGCGGGCCCGAGTAAGGTGGATAGTAGGACATGGTCTGACAAGAAAGAGGAGGGGGAGGGGAAGGGAAAGAGATCAGGTGAAACCAGAAAAAAAGGTTTGATGTGAGGATGGGAATGCAAGCCGGCAGGAAGCAGACAAATAAGAGGTGAGTGAACGGAGGGGATGGGGGGAAAAGGTGGAAGGGAAGGATGGAGGAGGAACAAGAAAAGGCGCAGGCGTCAAGTCAGTCAGTTCAGTTCAGTCAGATGGGGAACCGATGGCAGATTTGCAGCATAAGCCAGTGGAGCGGATCGCGCCGATTGGGTTCCGGACCGGGGAGAAAGAAGGGGGAGAATCAATACAGAAGAAGTAGTAAATACTAAATAGATACTAATAAAGACCCAAATCACTGGGAAACCAAAACTAAAAGTAAAACTGATGGGCGATTCTTACTCCTCGAGGAAAGGCACAACTTAATTAAATTAATATGTTAATGGTCTCCCTGCACGACGCACGTCCTTCCTTCCTTCCCTTCCACTCGGTCCCTCCGGCGCAGAAAAACAAAGCATGCCTCGGTCTCCCCGAATCCCTTTTTTTGCTCTCTCTCTTTCTCTGTCTGTCTCTCCTGTGCTTCTGCTTCCGCCAGAAGCAAATAAACGAACATGCCCAATTTCAGACAGCCAGCCAAATTCCTTCATTCCCCATGTCTCCCCCCCGATCCACACCTTAAATAGCACGGACTTGCCTATCCACCCCCTTGGGCCCAGAACACTCATCCATAAAATTCCCCAATCGTCCCATTCTCTACAGAAGTAGATCTTCCATCATGCACGATCCCTGCTTGATTCCTGCTTGCTACACGTGACTGTGCAACAACCTGCTAGCTACACCGAAGAATGAATAGTGTCATACGTAGGTAGTAAAGAACAGACACCTCAGGCACTGATTATAAACAACTCAAATTTTCCCCCTTTATAGTCATGGGAGATTTGAAATTTGCTTTACTGTACTAGGTGGTACCTCTCTTCCTCCCTCCAACCTATCCCAATCCATCCTTCGTCTTCCGACATTTACCGTCCGCGTCGGGGCATGCCACGTCCGCGGCCTCCTCCAAGCGCCCGCTGGGCAGCACCCGGCGGCAGGCCTCGTGTTGGGGCCTGAGCTTGGGCCGACTCTTCGTTCTCTGCAGGGGAAAAAGAAAATCATCATCGGTCAGCCCAAAGGATACTATAGGGCTTAGGGGTGACACTATATCACTGGGGTACTCACTGATCGTCTCGTCCACACTCAAGATCAAGCATGCAGCCTCCACTGCCGCCTGAATGGCGTTCACCTTGACCAAGCTGGGCTCCCACACGAAAGCCGCCATGTTGTCCCGAACACCCTCGTGATCAAAGTCGACACCAGCCCAGACGTTGCCCTTGCGGTGCTCCACCCGCAGCCGGTTCAGAATATCCGTCGCATCGAAACCTGCGTTATCGCACAGCTGGCGGGGGATCACCTCCAGGGCCTTGGCGAACGCCTTGACGACCGCCTGCTGCTTGTGGGGCACGTTGCGGTCCGCAAAGCCGTGCATGAAGCTGGACAGTTCCATCTCGGTAGCACCTCCACCCGCGACAATGGTCGTGTGGCGGAGAGCACGCTTGACAATCATGATGGCGTCGTGCAGACTGCGCTCGACCTCGGCGATGAACTGCTCCGCTCCACCACGCAGCACAAGGGTGCAGGTCTTGGCCTTAGGGCACTCGGAGAAGAGGTTGTAACGCTCACCACCGATCTGGCGCTCCTCAAAAATACCGCAGGTACCCAGGTGGCGTTCCTGGATGTCGCTGCAGGTCGACTGGGTAGCCGCTCCGGTCGCCTGGCAGACCCGATCCATATCATCGGCCGCAACGCGACCAGCACAGAAGATGTCCCGATCCGCAAAGTATCTGTAGATGAAGAGAAACGAAGTGAGCATGTAGACCAATTGCCAGGGAAGAGTGCGAAAGAACATACTGCGTAGCCAAATCACCGATGGGGAGCTTGCTGAGAACAACCTTGGCTCCGGTCTTGTAGATAGCCTCCAGCTTGTTGTAGATGATCTGCCACTCGGCATCGACGATGGCCTGGTATTCCGACACATGCTCCACGCGCACCTCGGCGTTGTCCTTCTCACTCTTCAACTCCAGCTCGACGTTCAGGCAGACAATCTTGGGGTCCTTGAAGTACTTGGGCTGTTGCTCGAAACCGGCGTACGAGAAGGTCTTCTTGAAGGCGACACCGTTAACGAACAGAGATTCCTGGAGACCACCACCAGTAACCCGCTTCACACCGATCAGCTTCTCGTTAAGGTCGTCCTGGTCGAGCGAAAGCACGGCATCCACCACCACTAGGATATTTAGTCAGCATCTGTACCCACGAACAACACAGCACCCATGGATAGGGGAGGGGGGGAGCCCCTTACTCTTGGTGAAGAATTCCGAGTTCCGCTTGATCAGCTTGCTGTTCATCGCCGTTCCGGCCAGACGGCGGAGCGTCTCAACCTTCTTTTCCTCACTTCCCGCAGACTCGATCACGTCCACGGCGATCTCCTTAATCTTGTTGACGGCCATCGCACTTCCCCTCCGTAGACCCTTGACGATGGTCTGTGAACTGACACCCTGCTCGACAAGTTCGCGAACTTCCTTCAGAATTTCACCGGCGAGGACGACAACCGACGTTGTTCCGTCGCCCACCTCAGCATCTTGAGAGCGGGCAATGTCCGTGAGAATGCGGGCGGCGGGGTGAACGATATCGAGAAGCTAGAACAGAAGACAAGGACAAGTAAGCTCATGAGGTAAAATAGAGTATGAATAAATATTGCCTGGAGTCTTCCGAAGGAAAGATATGAGGGTGTGTTTCTAGACGCACCTTCATCACAGTAGCTCCATCGTTGGTGATGGTCTGTCTACCGTTGCCGTCCACCATCAACAGGTCCCCTCCATAAGGACCGAGAGTGCTCTTGATCGTGGATTGCACGGCAACACAGGCATTGATGTTGGAGATGATCTGACCCTTGCCCTGGGAGGTATCGGTGCCTGAAGCAAAAGAAAACAATCAACGGAGTCAGCAAAATCTCTCAGCGATGACACACAGATGCCAATGCAAATGCGGGCGGGTTAACGGACCCTCCTTGAGCACGATGATCGTGGGTGCTTGGCCAGCGAAGGCCATTTTGATGAGATTATTTCAGGGAAGGACGGCGGAGAGAAAGGAAGTCTGTGAGCCAACGGACAAGGGGCTATAGAAAGATGAGATTGTGGCCCTGAGTGTCCTAGCTGGTCGGGGGTTCGATATCGCTGCTCGACCAAAATTTCCCCGAGCTTCTTTGGGATCGAAACTCTCCAGTGCTGGAGGCGGTGACCAATCATGCCGCGCCCCGCAGCCCTATTTGCTGCTTTTTCCCCTCAAAAACACTACCTTGACATTAGGAAAGTCTTATAATGTGATTATATCGAATGTATTTTTTTCTAGCAAATGCTTGAATTGCTTTATATTCATATTCTTTTGCTGTATAAGGTCGATTTCCCACCATCTGAGGCCACTTCGTCCATCACATCCCTGAACCGTTCCTGTTGTCTTATAATTTGAACCCCACCAGATTCCAGCATAACACGAATGGAACTTTGACAAGAATACTTTAGTGAAAATTAGTTCGGGGTACTGGCATAGCACTCTTTACTCGAGGTATGAACACTATAGATTTTCTCTTCAATGTACTACTATGGTTATTCAATCCCATCATGTCTGCCAGGTAGCCACCCAGGCATATGCCGTAGAGTGGCGGGGTTGGGCTTCTTCTGAGTACTATGATGGTGATAGTAGTAGTACTACTTATCACTCTACAGTGCATGGGATCTCATATGTAGTGTTCGCTACTGAGATCCTAAATGATCCACACGACAGTGAACAAGTATCTTTTAAGAGATAACCCACGATTGCCATTGATTATTCTCTCATATGCTCCCTAGAACCTCGAGTAGCATTACGTCTACCGCGTTGGTAACTAATATAACTCTCACCAGCTCGCTTACGGAATGCTCACATCATGATACAATTATCTTGAGAGCAGTCTGTATGCATGGTGTCGCAACTACTAGACTGATCATATCCGGTGGCGATGGACGTGGTCTTTGCCGTCTCCCTACCCCATGTTCAAAGGCTACAGGGGTGGTGTACCCTTAGCGCAGATTTCCCTCAATCACCCCTAACCAACAAACAGAAGTCAATTATGAGCAGGTATAGGGTAGATATCCAGCCGTGTGTTTCAGTTCAAGTTCGTGTGAGAAATAGTAGAGATGCATTGTACGCGTCCCCAGCACAGAGAAGTAATGCATACCCGAGATTACCTAGGCTGGCTCAGCTGAAGCGGCCACAGCTGAAGTCGATCGTCTAGACCATAAATTGGGAATAGCCTGCCGATCGACCCAAATATTCAAGCCAATAATATACAGTAGACAGTGTCTCTCGAGAAGCGCCGCAAAATGTTCAGCAGTAGCTGCGACCGCTAAACAGGGGAGGGAGTGGATATGGCACAGGTTTGGGGGAAAGTGGAGTATCTAGAGATAGGACTTGGGAAGGGAAGTCACAGACATTTGAGCAATTTAGCCCAGAATGCTGATTATTTTTGTCAGTCAAACTAGATCCATATGCTCGTTGTAGAGTAGATCAAGATAATGGATGCGACGTAAAACGCTCATCTGCGTGACATAGGGAGACATCTCTGTTCTAGGCTTCAAGTTGCAAATGCCTCGATACCGATCATACCTGTCAAATAGAAATGTAAACTGAGCAAGTCAAAATTGACCTAAATGTATCTGTTGGATTCTGATTCCCCATGAAAAGTTTCCAACATGTTGTGTGGGCAGTAATGCCACTGGAGAATAACTGCGCGAGTACCCGTGGCCCTGGCTAGTATTTCTAGCTCGAGGTCCCTGATCCATACCAATACATCCTAGTAAAGCTGATTGTCTCCTGATCTTGTTGTGCTCTAGTCTCCTCTAATCCGAGTCAACTAATGCGTTCTTTTCTCACCAGGCTTTCGGCTAGGCAACCCGCATTTGTCCGAGAGACCTTTTCAGGGCTTATCTATCGACTAGAACGCCTGACTATGGTTCGAACAACGTATGACCTGAGCATCCAAGGTCCGACCATATCCAATATATCGATTGACTGGTGAATTGCGTGGAAGAGTCCTCTCAAATGAGGTACTTTCGACGACTCAGAAGAGTCCCCAAAAAGCAAATCATGCGTCATTTTATTGACGGATGTAACGGGAGAGCGGACTAAAGTCGAAACAAATTTCAATGTAGGTGATCATTTGTATGAGGGCCCTGCTGAGGCAATGTCGATCAGGGAATTTCGGTTTAGGAGAGCCCACTAAGTCCTCGACGAAGTCGAGAGATATCAATGACAGTTTAGAACCCCTCCCAGTGGGTACAACAAAATGTATAGCTTGTAGAGTAGATCATAAGCAGATCTACCGCGACATAGAATTTGTGAATGTTACACGGCCAGCTCATGCGTTCTTGACAGGTCCACAGAACACCCAAAAACGAGGTGAAACAGGGAGGACTTGCATCCCATTATAGCCAAGGAAGAAGGTCTCCCTGACGAATACTGTATTCAACATTGAGTCTCCCAAGAGATTAGCTCATGCACATCTCACTTGCCTAGGTTTGTTAATAGTATGGCTAAGAAAGTGATAGGCCGTCAAGAAGCGAGGCAAAGGAGCAGACGCTTGTGGCGCATCCAGGGCTCTCGGTTGCCAGGATCTCAAAGATAAACTTGTACAGCCTCAAAGTCAACTGGCATGGTGGATGATCTGAACCGAAGAAGCCATACTACAGTAGATGAAAATATTACTGGAGTTGCTTTTCGAGGAATGTAGATCATGCAGGTCAGGTGATGCAGAAGCGTCACCCACATCTTTGGGCTCTTCCCCTCTCTACTACATCCTCGTATTTAAGCTATTGTCCAAGTGACCAGACTTCATCCAAATCAGTTCGAATATCATCGATCAAATTGTGTCTTGAATACCCTTACTGAGCTCCATATCCCATAATTTAGCTTTATTTGTCTATACATAGCTCCTCCCCAGTGTAGTTCTCCTGCCCTCGCGATAGTATGTCAACCACAGATTTACCCCAGTATTACCCGAACAACTTGACCCCGCTAGATATAAATCAAAAAACACTGGAAAACGCCCTCAAAGAGCTGCAGGTTGCTGTGAATCGTGGTGCAACTTTATTGCAGGAGGGCTGTCCTCCTCAGAGCGAATGGGGCAAAACCTACAACACGGGTATATACGTGGGATTTCCAGGTATGCGTATAGCTTTCACACTGTTGGTGGTTAAGTGATATGCTTCATAACAAAAACTTGGCAAGTGTAATCTGATGGATCTTCTCCTGCAGGAATTGCTCTTGCTTTCCTCCGACTGGACCATCAGGTCAAAGCGTTCAGCAACAAAGATGTCGGACTTCCTCTTGACTTCCGCAGACTTGCAAGCGAGCAAATCCTTCCACATGGACCGGACATTCCACTTTTGCCCGGAAGATTAGCACCTTTTGGCTCCCCCAGTGTGCTTGTGGGACCTCTGATGCGAATTCTCGCAGCCGCCCAATCCGGTGCATCCATGTCCGAAGCTGATATCGAATGTCTCAGAAATGTCGTACAAGTGGCCATCGGAAATCCCCACATGCTACCACACGGTGATGGGATGATGGGTACGGACGAAGTTTTGTATGGTCGAGCGGGTGTATTGTGGGTTGTACTGAGCGTGAGAGCTCACAAGTATGACGAGAGGGCTACAGGCCTTCTGACCTCCATTTTCGAATCTGTTCCAGACCTTATTGATGCTATTATCAAGGGTGGGCTTCAAGGCAGAGAAGACTATCTAGAGGAGTATGGGGAGAGAAATGCTTTGCCGTTGATGTGGCACTGGCATGAAGATCGGTATGGCCTAGGAGCGTAAGTAATGCCCCCACCATCATCACAAATGCTGAGCAACAAAACGGCAAATCTAACATATCTGACTAGGGTACATGGAATGTGTATGTTACTACGTCTGTTAAGAAAATCCTAATGATACACTCCGCTGACAAGCTTTTGTAGCTGGCATACTCGCAGCCCTCCTTGCCTGCGATCCTGAAGAGCTCAACGACGGTGCTTCGCGTAATTACCTGCCCTTGATAGCGGAAACAATCACCGGTCTTTGCAAGATATGTATTGCTCATAACGGCCACCTCCCATCGACTCTTCCCGATCGTGGTCCTTCATCCAAGCGCTCCTCACCTCTCGTCCAGATTTGCCATGGGAGTCCTGGCATTTTGACCCTTATGGCATGCGCCAGGCGGAACAAGCCCCTGATCTCTAACTTCTGGCAGCCAGAATGGGATATAGCAATTCGCCTGGCAAGCGAACGGGTCTGGGAAGAAGGACTACTTTCCAAAGGCGGCGGGATCTGTCATGGCATTACCGGCAGTGCATGGCCATTGTTGCTTCTGCACGACAGCTTCGAGTATGATAAGGAAGAGATGCAAGCAGCCAGAGAGAGATATATGGGGAGAACACAGACAACCAACGCAACAGTATTGGATACCGGGCTCACTGGTGACTATTTCCTGTCGAGAGCGCTGGCGATGTTGTTGCATGTGCGGGAGACACCTCCATACCAAAGCTCCGTCACGCCAACGTCTAACATCTATCGACTACCTGATCGCCCATTTTCCCTTACAGAAGGCCTAGCTGGAGCTGTCTGCGCGTGGGCAGACGCATGTGTGTCTGTCCAGATGAGACTGCGAAGCATGCTTCTGCAGAAGAAGTGGCCGGACAGTTCTTCGTCTTTGAAGTCAGATCCAACCTTCCAAGATCTCGAGAGCTTGAAATTGGGAATTCCAACGCTTGCTTATCACCGGGCTACGCCTTTGCCTTGAGAAGGGAATATGAGAAGCTTTTCTATTGATGCAGAGCTTAGGAAAGAAAATTCGTAACGACAGCAAAGTATGTATGGGAATCTTGCATGTATGTCGCTCAAGAACAAAAACCGTTGCTCCAAATATTCAACATAGGGGAACTTGATGCTAAAAGACTCCAAACTCCATGCTCTTGGCTCAACTCCAGTCGCTGATAAACGAGAGTAAAAATCGTAAACACGATCAAAGATCACTATCATGTTTACACAAGTCAAAAAAGCGTGAAACCCGTGCGATACATGGGTGGTTGGCCCGGAATTTCAGTCCTGTACTCGACACGTTTAGGCAAGTAGTTCCCATTCGGAGCTTCCACAGCAACTCTCCATCTCCGCCAGCAGTTTGAAAGCTGGTGATTTCTATCACCACAGAAGGTACAGCGCATTTGCACCGGTCGTTGAACAGGTCCTCCCTGCATCGGTTGACTGTAACTTCGATTCCTTGTAGCTTGCTCCCGTTCGCGACGCATCTGTTCAACCACGTAGTCATTGATTTCCTCCTGACTGGGCCGCTTAGCATGTCCCCGGACACTTCCACTGCGATTACGGAATGCCTCATCCTTATGCATCTGTTTAACAACGAATGCGTTGATCTCGTCCTGAGTGAGAGGGCGAGGATCTTCCGGAACCTCCAATGGCGATGCAAACCCTCTCTTGGCAGCACCATGATCACCACTCCGTGCACTCCTTCCCCGCTGCTGACGGATCTTCTCTTGCTCCATGGCCAATTGGGCCAGCTCCTGAAAGGTCACCTGCTCCGCAGGATTGGAGGAGCACATCCGACTATCTCGCAGCATGGCAGATGCCCAGTCACTCCAATCAGGACATTCTCTAAGCTTTGTCAAAAAGAGCATATTGATCTGCGAATCGGGAATATAGGAATCATCGTCGATTTGCGTAAGCCCTTCGCGGATTGCTTGGATGAGTGCGACGAAATCGGCGATCATGTCGGACTTCTGAGGGTCGAGGTCGAGGACCTCGCCGACTTGGTGCATCCTGCGAATGTTTCGCTGCCATGGCTCCATTTTGGCCTATGGATCAAAGAAATTGAGGTGAGGAGATTTGGAAGAGAGAGAAGGCCAGTACGTATCTTTTAAGCGCCGTGAATCAGTGGTTTTATTTGTCGGCGATGGTTTGCTGACCGTGCGGGGGATGACGTCAGAAAGAGAGCCGTACAATTACTGTATCCATACGATAACAGTGTCTGTTCTTATCGTTGCTTCTGTTCTCTCCTTTTCTTCGGCTCTTATTCTCCCCCTCCATGGTTGGGGTGCTGCTATATTTCATATTCCACAGTAGGATGTTATTATTCACGGCAGATTAAAGTATGGAGTTTCTTTGGCTCTATGGATCCTTCGGGCCTTTCCCTCGCCCCATCGTGAACCGTGGCAGTGCCCGACCCCCATCTGCAAGTCAGCAGCATCTCTTTGGGGGCCGCTATTCTCTTAGTTTCATTTGCGTAGTGGCGTGTGACAACCAGTCCAGATAATTATCCAAACCATCATTTCTCTCAAACGTGCTACAGACTAATCTGCGCATCCTGCTAGCCTGATCTAGGACAAGGCTTAAAGCCCCCATCACCCCGGTGGAGAGAAATCGCATCGCGTACAACTGTGACCATGGATACTGTGCCACCATCCTACCAAACCGCTACCACCAGAGACGCATGGTCGGTTATAGCACACTACATCCCGTCAAGCGACCTATGCGCAGCGGTCTTGGTATGTCAGAAATGGCATGGTATCTTCATGCCCTTTCTGTGGGGGGATCCCGCTTCCCACTTTGGAACGGATAACGATGCGGTTTATGGTAGGTCTGAACGATCCCACGACTGTTTGATTTGACTGTTTGGCGCTGACAAGACACACTAGTCGCTCTCACAAGGTTCAGAAGGACACTAAAATATGCCCGTCTCAAGGTGCGGATGCTCACCCATACGTTGCATCTGCCGCCTGCTCTCTCGGAGATTTATGGTGGTCCACGACCTGAGTGGCTAAAGGAGATCCTGGATGCTCTACCGTGCCTCCAGTCGTTGATGGTCTCAAAGCTACCATTCTTTGACCACAATGCTATGACCGCCTTGAGAAGACCTAGTCCATTTGGAGAAAATGACACAGCTTCCCAGACCTACAATGTCCGTCTGCTATTAGCGGATAGTGAGCCAAATGCGACATCACACGGTATTGCGGAGACCTTACTACGCTTCCCTGAATTGATCTATCTCGATTTGTCTTACACCACCCCTGCGCGGGATCGCACAGTCCTGTCCTCGCTATCACAGTTGGAAAACCTCCAGGTCCTCAAGCTTCGAGGTATTGGTTTAAAGGACAATGATGCAGAATTCCTGGCCAACGCCATCGGACGCAGAGTCCGATTTCTGGACCTGCGCAATAATTTGCTTACTGATATGTCCATACGGTCATTATTGCAAGCATCCTTCTTACCCCCTGGTGCTGAGGATAGATTACAACGAGCGACACTAGCGTCACTGGGATCCCTTGCCCACTCTCCGCAATCGAGACCCTTGCTGTCTGACAGGAGGTTTCTTAGGACCCCGCTTCTAGATGAACAAATCCTGAAAGCTTTAACACAACCATTGACAGGGTGCTCCTGGGTTGAGGATTTGTCCCATGCAGGCATAACACACCTCTATATCGCCGAGAATCCTATTTCTGTGGAAGGGGCCGCAAGTCTTTTGTTCTCGTCTCGCCTGCACGCTCTGGATGTGGGAACCGTTGACACTATAGAGTCTATCGGAAGAAACCAGAGCTCTCTTGCTTCGCCTCAAGACGATTCCCACAAGCTTCCTGGTGCTGAGAAATTGATTCCCATCCTGGGGACTGTTGCCAAGGGAAACCTCACCTACCTTCGAGCTCATCATGCCGTCTGTACAGTTGATGCGCCGTCAAGGGAGACCTCAACGGCGGACATGTTGCTACCAGAGCTCCCTGCTGGAAATGAGAGTGAAGTGCGTACAATGGCAGAGTTGGGTACGAACCATCAGATTTATGAAATAGCATCAAACGAAGCACCGATTTTCGAGCTTCCTGGTTCACCAGTCCCACAATCTCCGGATTGGCCTTCGCAGCCCGCCGAGCGCGGTCGAAAGCCAATCATTTATGAAGACGAATCACTACCTGACCTGCGACGAGGCTCTGTCTTCGCTCCCGAGGTGATCGGGGCAGACCAAGTCAGTGATGATGAGGGCCCGAGCAATACCTCTGCCGCAAGGGCTTCAAATCGCTTGCCCCATGATATCTCTTTCTCTAGCATTTCCAGCATCTCGGTGGGTGCAGCGGGGTCTATCCTGCAATGTTCTTCTCCCCTTTCAGTCGAAGATTTTCGAGCCCAGAAGATCCAGGAGTTGCTTGCTAAGCGGCCGAAAAGTCTTCCTCGACGTGATAACAAAAGGTTTTATTTTCCGTACCTGCATCCTTCACATGTCCCTCATCTTGAAACATTGGTTTTGACCGACGTTCCATCTCACGTACCGCCGAACTCGCCTCTCTTGCAAGCTCTTATCCGGTTCATAACCGCTTGCTCGAATGAAGCATTACTTGCAACCCTACAAGCGGGCTCTGATTATTCACTTGCACCTGGAAGAGCTCGAGCCAAAGCTGAACAAGAACGTGCCAGGACTTTATTTGGTCTGCGTCGCTTGGTGCTTGAGATTACACCCTCTGTTAGGTCAAATATATCATCCAGATGGACTCCAGCCAGCTACCGGGTAGGAGCTTCAAAGTCAAGTACCGGTGATCGCGATTCGGAGAAGCTATGGTCAGCAGCAATAGGCGACTTCAGCTTCTTTGATGATGAAGAATGCGGAGTACCCGATGTTTATTCGGGGAAGTACTTCCCCATGGCAGCCTTGAACGAGAAGGTGACGTTGATTCCAGAAGATGACGATGTTCACCCCTTACAGCCCGACATGGCTTCTTCACCAGATAGGCTTCATCCAGATCCTTTGCGCTCGCACAGCCCATTTTTGGACAAGGATAGAGAAATGGGGCCGCAGAATGATGTACTAGACGTTGATCTGGTCGCCGAATTGGCAGCATTCCGACGTAGTAAAAAGGCAGAGTATGAGGAAATGCTGAGGAGAGATCGCAGAAGACGTGGTACTGTCGGCACCATGTCCTCTCGCTTCTCTCCTTCCGTCTCCTCGTTTCAAACGATTTCGCCGTCGTCGAGCATAAATACGTTGGCGACGGCATCGACGCCTCATTCCCCCATTGCTCATTACTTAGAAGGACACTGGAAGGGGGAAGTGAAAATTGTCCGCAACCCAGCGCCAAAGGGCCGAAGCGGGATGGTAGACATGTATGGGAATTATTTCGAGAAGGGCTATTTGTACCCTTGATGGGGTACTTATATTGTTTGTGGCACTAGTTAATTGATAGAGATCGCGAGCATGATACCCGATATATATTACACTTTTTTGACATCACATACATCGTTAGACAATCACCCACAGCTGGCTTTGAACGATAGATGAGATAGTATTCATAGTACCATCCTCTTCACATTCTTTATGGGGTTTACTACAAGGACCAGAACTGTCGTCTACTATGTAATAGTAGGGAGGTGTAGTGTCATGCCTACAAACTAGGGCACACGGAGCTAGTACGACAGTAGATAGTACACATCTCGCCGACACCCCCTCTAACAGTAGATCATATAGAGCGAATCCATACAATCAAACATCTCTTTCCTCTAGTATCTCTAGATAGCGAGCAAGAGACAACAGAAGTTCTAACTTAAGTTCGTTCTTCGTTTTAAGAAAGTTTGCTATAGAATTTCGTCTTTCACACACGACTCCGCGCGCATAATTCATTCAACCCCGAAACTGAAACCCGTTCATTTCCATTTAAGAATTCCGCATAAAGTATAGTAAAGAAGTTATGGTGTGTTTTTTTCAGACAACATAAAGAAAAATTATAAGAAGCAACAGTTAAGGGCCCCTAAACTAATTCCATTTTTCTTTTATTTTGAAATCGTTGTCATTTCCTTCCTTACATAGCCTTGGCGGCCTGAGGGGGGTTCAGCTTCTTGCCATCCTTGTTGTACCTGATACGAGGAGGGGGAGCACGGTTGCGACGACCTTCCCGGGAGCGGACACTATAGGAATTAGATTATTAGCTTTGTGCTTTGTTCTCGAGTTCGATGATGGTTTCTCGACGCATTCATCGTTGTTTTGGGTGGGTGGCGTACCGAACAATCTTGCCGTGGATAGCGCAGGAGACGCAGTACTGCAGCTTCAGGTACATCTTGGGGACGGCGTAGTCGGTGAAGACGGAGGCGTCCGAGATATCACCTGTAGAGTTGGAAAAAAAGAACCAGTCAGTCCGGTGTTGTCTTTCAAGGTTGTGTCGAATTCCGTTCACTCGTGCGTCGCGCTGTTTGTATCGGTTCCTTCTTCTGTTTCCCCCTTGTCGTATTCCGGTCGAGTTGATTTGGCTTCGATTCAATTGCATATGTAACACCCCCACTTCCCAGCTCTTTCGGAACGAACAGACAGCGCGCGCGGACGGTTTCGGGAAGAACTCAGATCAATGAAGAGAGATCGTGGAACGTACGGATGGCAGCGGACTCGACCATGTTGCGGATGGTGAATCTCTTGATGGCCTTGTCCTTGGGAGTGCAGCGAGCGCAGTTGGAGCAGCGCACGGGCTTGACGTGGCCGCGGCCGTTCTTGTTACGACCGCTGTGAAAAGAGGTTAGTTTATCGGTTCCTTTTCTTTGAATTTGCGAATTTCCATGATTTCGATTTTAATTTCGCCATTTCTTCAATCTTCTTCATATTTTCCCCAAAATCACACAACACTGTACGGTAGCCGGGCCATTCTGCGGTAAATGTATGGCGAATTTTCCTTCCGTGCTGCCGTCTTCGTTCAGGTGTGCGTAGATTGTGTATATATGTATATATGGCATGTGGCATGTGGCATGGATTGGGTGGGATAAGGAAAGGGTTCGGTCTTACTTGTTCGCCCTCTTCTTGACCATCTTGACGGATTTCTCTGCAGCAACGGGTCAGAGAATGTAAGTCAGGGAGAAGGGGAAGGGAGGTTGTCGCGTACTTGGCTGTCGGGTTTGGTTGTCGTAAAGGCTCCGGAGTCGTCTCTTCGGGATGAGGTTGTGTCGGGTTTGTGTGGTAGCCCTATGCCCTTAAGCGAGCTGGGTCACGGGATGAGTGGCCTCAGGCGGTTAATGCTGAGTTTTAGATACCTGAGGCATAAGCGGAGGGGTTGACATCGGGAGAGTGGCAGACGGTGGCCTGACCGCCCCTGCCTCAGGCAATCG